TGAGACCCCTGCTTTAGAGCTAGTGTTTGAATGATTCTCTAGCGTAATGTCTAAAGTGATGATGAAAGAGGTCATTTTTGTTCACATTGTAAGATTAAAAGGCTGAAAAGCATGAAATTCCAACAGTCTACAGAGATTTCCCAGTATCTCTCTGTTGCAATCAAGATATCACAATAATTAACCCCAAAAAATCCAAAGCAATGCAAACACTGCCAGTTTCTGTAGTATACACACAGCACTACAACATACAAAAGAGAGAGATCGACTTAGAATGTCTCTTACCTGATTTATAATGACTTGTTCAGCTAGATTGAAACTTACATTGAGTTAACACTGAGTTTTTCTCCCTCTAAGGACTATATATATATATATATATATATATATATATATATATATATATATATATATATATATATACACACACACACAATAGAATCATAAATGTTTAATGCTAGCCCTCTACTAGCAATTTAATACACAGTAGCGGGGACTATGCATGTTTGTATGGCGTTAGCACTAGTACAAATGTTGTTGTAAGTAGCTTTTGGAGTTTTGGATAATCAGAATGAGGGTTATGAGAGTAAATGGAGCACATTTGGCCAGTCCTTACTTTTTGATATCCTTTTAAAGAGCTATGTGAGGGTTATGACTTGGTTTTATAGGGCCTGGTATTACATAGTTCAGTTCATAGCGCGTTTCACAATAGCTATTTTTTTTCAAAGCAGCTTTACAGAAGGTGCACATTAGTGTCAATAAATGTCTTCACAAGGATAGCTGTGCAAACAAGTGTGTATGTGTATATGTGAGTCTTTGTGTGTGTGCAACATTGACCTCAGTGCCGTGTCAGGAGCACACACACACACATCTCAATAGCCCAAGTCTCCACTCACAGCATCATAAACAGCTTCTTCTCCGCCTCTCAGGGGCAGAAATGGGCCTGAGGCAACGAGCCCAGAAAGCTGATGATGAAGCGGGGCTGCCAGGCTCGAGTGTCCCTCGCCAAAGTGTTTCAGGAGGCAGTAGTAATTGATCGGCCAGGAGAAGAGCACAAGTGAAGGAGATGATGTCTGAGAGACTGCCAGCCTTAGTGTCTAATGGACTTCATCCCTTCTCACACGTGCAGGATCATTTTTCTTCACCACTTCTCACTCTGTCTGAGCCACATTTAGAGAGAAACCTACGTATGTTTCTATTACACTTTTAAAAATTAGGAAACCAGAAAACGGAGAGTGTAAATTATTATCAGAAGAAAATATTTTATAGGGGGTGGCAAGGTGGCTCAGTGGTTAGCACTGTCGCCTCAGAGCAAGAAGGTCACTGTTTCGGGTCCCAACTGGGTCAGTTAGCATATGTAGAGTTTGCATGTGCTCTGGTAGATAGATAGATAGATAGATAGATAGATAGATAGATAGATGGATGGATGGATGGATGGATGGATGGATGGATGGATGGATGGATGGATGGACGGACGGACGGACGGACGGACGGACGGACGGACGGACGGACGGACGGACGGACGGACGGATTTATGGATGGATGGATGGACGGACGGACGGACGGGCAGACGGATGGATGGATGGATTGATTGATTTACAAAATATATTTACAAAAAAACTTCTCTTTTTAACCAAGTTATATTAATTAATTATGCATTTACCATGGTTAGGGTTAAGGTTAAGGTTATTTGCATGTAATTATGCTTAATTTTGATAAGTCTTGTTGTACAAACAATCAAAAAATGACATTTGCTGTTTGATCAAGCTTTAAACTGAGCTAAAAGAATAAAAATCCTTCAGTGCATTTAGGGTGACAACTTAATTGTTTTGTGTTCAATCCACTTAAATTTGTAAAAACTAATAAGTCAACTTAATTCTTTCATGTTTTCCCAACACAAATCAATTGTGTGCAAACCCAGCATTTTTTACATTGCAAAATCTGCAACAAACACACCTTAAAATAAAACGTTAACCTTAATATTTATTATCATAGATTACATTAACACAATGGTGAAAAAGAAAAATTGAAAGCCAAAAGTCAGTTGCTAAAAGCCACATTATTGCCAACAATATATTAATTCCTGTACTTTTACCATAAACCAAATATCAATCATTTGGTAGAGGTTGATATTTTAGAAATTATGGCATGTGTTGAAAAAAAAATTGAGTGTGTTAACCAGCGTTAAGAAATGCAATACAAACATGTTTTTCTTGGTGGGATAGTTTAAGGGGTATTATAGTATTATATTATTTATTCAAATTAACTTTAATAGGGGCATTTTTTAGTGTTTCACACCTTTTTATAGGTCTTTTTTGATTGTATGTTTTTGTACACTCCATATGGAAAATTGTTTGCATTGGCCAAAACTGATTAGCTGAAGTCACGCTGTTAGCTGAACAGTTCTCACTATGGTGAACAAATACAAGGTGTGATAATATTCTGCTGTTATTTACAATCACTCAACAATCACACAAAATAATATCTCAGTGAGACAAGTTTGATGTAAATATTGAGAAGAACACCACTGTATAACAGCATGCGGAAAAAAATAGCTTTTATCAATCCAGTGCATTTATTTAAAGTTCACTGACAAATTTAACTCGCATCCTTTGCAATCTCTAAAAAAGCTGAGCCTGATGAAATGCATTCCGTGTGGCTTTTAAGTTTGTGAGAGGACAGTCAAAGTCAGTGTACCGTATGATGCTGAAATACAACTGAAGGTCACTCCAATTATCTGTAATGGAGCCCCTCCCTCATGAAAAGCCCACCCCACCAAAATATTAACAGGCCCGTGCATGAATATGAATTGCATTGAGGGCGGATGAGCAGGGTTATTCTGTCCGGTGTGCCAATGTCAAGCGGACAGCAGAGGACACGGGCTTCATTAAGGCATATAAGGGTGTTTGGTGCATTTACATGGGAAACGAGGGCAGAGGGAAGAACTCGCGTCCTAATCACTCATTCACTTATCTCATTGAGACAGAGTCAGATGGAGATCCGATGACACCCGGGTCATGATTAAAATTCATTTAGAGTAATCTACACCAAGACGAGCACAAACCATGCTTCCAGATGACCCTTTTTTCAGTTTTCCCGGTGGTGTTTTTACTGATTGTCCCGTTCATGCGCCCATCAGGGGGCTAATGCTGCACAAACGACAAGCCGAATAATGCTTTTACGATTTCATTCAGCCAAAGGAGTAGTTCACCAAACAAAGAAAATTATGTCATCGTTTACTCTACTTATTTTAAACCAAATGAGTTTCTTTGTTCTTTTTTGTTGAAGACAAAATAAGATACTTTGAAGAATGTCGGAAACCAGTAACCATTTACTTCTGTAGTATTTTATTCTAGTGTTATTGGTATCTGCAAATTTTTGAGCCCACAATTCAATCTATTTACTTCTGAGAAAATGGGTGTAAATATATATTTATTCAATTTTATATTAATTAAAGTAATATGATTGAATAATATGCAAATAATTAGAAGATTTATGTACAATTTGTAAAGTAATATTTTTCTATGTATTTTAGTGCATGTATTATACAAAAGACCTGCTTTGTTTACCAACAAGTGGTTCACTGTAAAAAAATTTAATGAGTTAAAGTTTGTTTTTTTGTGAGGCGACAGTGCTAACTGAGCCACTATGCTGCCGTTTGGTTTAAAAATATCACCTTTAATGTTTCAAACTCATTTTAACAAACAGAGCACTGTGCAGCCAAGCAATGGAAGAGCTTCATATGGGGGAGACAATTTGCTTATATGTACTTATTTGTTTCAAACTTGAATAAACCATCTTACAGAAAGGCCCAGTAGTAGAGATCTCCAGCATTTTAACCTCCTAAACATTTGCATTTTTAAGCCAGACAAGAGATTTAAGCCATGCTGTCTTTTTGAAATTTGTTATTTTTTATTTTGCGCATCAAAAAGGTTTCAGTTCATATACTCTCATTATCATTCTGCATAGATCCTTAAATTTGTTTGATAAACTTCAGCACAGAAATACACAAAATAAGTCATAAGATTCTGTCTTTCTCTGGTCATTGGCAGTGTAACTGATTTTCAACATTATCTAAAATAAGTCATTTCGTATTCAACAGTTACATCAAACTCATGCAGTTTGGAACCACTTGAAGCTGAACAGGCAAAATTTGGAAAAAATTGTAATTTTTTTGGGTGAACTGTATACCTTCATACAACATATGATTAATTTTGTCAGATGGTCGCTGTTAAGGGAGACTGCTATCTTTTGTTATGTGCAAATTTTGTAGCCATACTGTAGATGTTGTGTTAAAAAATGTTTTTAAAGGGTTTACAGTTATTTAATTTCTTTGTTGCCATATATAATAAAATAATAAAACATTATTATTATTATTATTATTTAAATTCATATAAACTTAGGGTAAAATTATTTAGAAATACCTTACAGTTCAGTAGTAGTATATTGTTATTTATTTGCTTAATTTAAGCAATAGAGTACATACAGTATAATAAAATAAATAAATAAAAACAATAACATATTACGAATTTATAAACAATAAAATGTATTAATAATAATAACAACGATGATGCCCTTCCTATTTTTATTAAAAATAATGAACATGCAGTTTTGTGGCTTTAAAAAATATTTTAAATGATTTAATAATATGAAATGTTATTTAAAAATCTAATTGGCTGGTATTGTTTGTGTTAGGCCCGAATATAGGGCTAAACATTATTGGATTGTGGCATTCAGACAAAAATTTATTATTGCAGCAGGGAAATACATGTAAACCATCTTGAAAATGTGTGAAAATAGGAGGATAATTTTACAACATAAATATATGATAATTATTGAAGAAACTGTTTTGAAAAGTGTCTGTACTGGAAAAACCTGTGGCTCTTACAAGCACCACTAGTTTATGGGATTTGTTTAGAAAAGTGTGCATTTCTCCAACATGGCAACCCACAAATACGGAACTGAGCTTCCATCAAATATACGGAGCCATGTGATCTAATACGACCAATAAGCTTTCAGTAATCCCCCGGTTATAACAGCGGGAAACTAACTAATAATAATGTGAATATGAAATAATTTATTGCATATAACGTTACATTTACCAGCAGTTTCTGTATTGGTGAGTTAATAGTGTATTGGTTGACTTTCATTTTGACTAGTAGGTTGAACGTTACTTTCTGTTGCCATGACGAGTTAGCGAGCTAATAACGAAACCCACTCACAGATCAACAACAAAAGCATCATCCCGTGTACTTTCCTTTTCTTTAATAAATAGATCATCAGTCTGTTTAAAATGCAGCACGTGCAGACGTATTTCTGTCTCTCCCACACGATTTTTCAATTAGGATTGAATTATTTGTTAGTCTTTCTTCAGATAAGCAGTCTTTTCTTAACGTTAACCTATATAATATAACGCTACAGTATTGGTATTATTCTTGTATGTTTGTCCCACAGTGTCAGTGAATTATGGCTCATAGACTGACCAAAGAGGAGCTGGATCAACAGTTTGAGCAGTTCTTGAAAGAGGTAACGTTACTCTTGACAGTCTTTGTTTACTATTTGTAATTTTCTGGAATTTTATATAAAAAACCTTTAAGAGGTTGGTGCTTCTTGCTCTTTTATGATTCAGCAAAATGTTAATATACAAGTTAAAGGTTTGTTTAACATTAGCTCATTCTTGTATATTACTTTTACAAATTGAGGTAAAGTTGGATTTATGTTCGCATATTCGTTCAGTGACAACTTGTGACATGTTTCCTATGTTTTTTCCCATGGTACTGGTAAACAATGGTTTATTTGATCTGAAATCACATGTAAGTATGACTTGAAGAAGGCATTAGCACTAATTATTTGACTGTGAACAATGTTGCACTTAGTTAGTCATTGGATGATGATATAATCTCACTATTTAGAATTTGCAAAGAATAATTTTGCTAAATATATTATTAAGGTGATTGTGTGAAAATAAAACCAACTTTACCTCAATCTTTCACAACCCTAATTCAGAATTGGTCAATTCATCACAAGTTTTAAGATGTTTTTAAACAATTGAATAAAATTAGGAATACGTATCATTTGTTAGTTCCCTCAAATATTGGTTTAATTGACAGTCCAAAATATATTTCCTGTGTTTTATTGACAGAGTAAATTGTATAATGAAAATGTATAAAATGTAGATTTCTATGGCTGCACCACATTCTAGAAATATTAAGCAAATTCATCAAAGAGTCACTTTTATTAACAGTGTTTAATTTCTTAGGAATTGAAAAATACATTTAGCATTGTCTAGGCATGGGCTGGTAAAAGATTCTGAAGCTATGATTACCTTGGATAAAAATTTCACGGTTTCTTGATATTAATCAATATGATTAATGCTCTAAAATCTATATTTTTAAATGCCTGGAAAAAAAAATTTCTTCCACCCCCCCTGAACACTATTTTATTTTGATAAACATTTAAAATATTTTAGAGCACTAAACATGTCAGGCTGAATAATGAAAATGGATCATAGACTTCTGCTATCTTCATTTGTTTCAAACACTGATTTCCCTACAATTTAAAATGGCATCTTTGGATATCTTTTCTTTTTAAGATACTGTTGTCCTAAAAAACTAAAAAGAAAAATGTACATAAAAAAATCTTACACATTCCTTGGGAACAGTATAGCAGGAAATTTTAGCACTTTTAAAACTTTGACTTTTACACTTTAAAAAATGGTTATTGTCCCTCATAATTTGATGCCTCATCTCACCTATCTTTATGATCTTCTTCATTTGTGCACTGTTTTGCGCATGCTGAGATTATCTTCTGCTGAATTGTTTTCTGGTCCAATTTTTAAAATTAATTTGGTGGCAGCACCAGAGTTATGGAACTCCCTGCCTTTGCACATTCACCAATTGGACACTATCTCCAATATTAAATCTCAGATAAAAACATTTTTGTCCAGGATTGCCTTTAATGATTTGCTGGTTTAATATGCTGTCTATTGCTTTTCACTGCATGTGTTTTTATGATGTGATTGCTGTATACTGTAAGATGTCCTTGAGTGCGTTGAAAGGCATTAAAGATATTACTATTATATAGATTTACATGCAAAATATTTTCTTCTGACCTAAAAGAAGTCTTCAGTCTGTGGTCATTGCAGTCTGTTTTCCTTTTATTGACTGGATGCTGTTGTTAAGCTCAGCACAACAGACAAACCATATAATTTGTGTATTTGTGCTATTTTTCAGTCAGTCTCTGATGACTCTGTTGATCTGGGCACCAGCTCCAAACGTCCTAGTGTCCTTGACAGCTTGGGAAAAGCACCTGTCAGGCCAGTGAAGAAGGCCTCAGCGTCTGTGCCGTGGTGGCAAGATGATGATGATAATGATGATGACAGTGAAGAGAAAGGTGAGTGCTGGTGTGGCCTGAATCAAAAAGACAGCTTGGCTTAAAATGCTGGAGATCTCCACTACTGGGCCTTTCTGCAAGATGGTTTATTCAAATTTCATACAAATAAGTACATATAAGCAAATGGTCTCCCCACATATGAAGCTCTATCATTGCTTGACTGCACAGTGCTCTGCTTGTTGGAATGAGTTAAAAACTTTAATAGTAATGTTTTTAAGCCAAAGGGCAGCATGGTGGCTCAGTTAGCACTGTCGCCTCACAGCAAGAAGGTCGCTGATTTCAGACCTGCTTGGCGCAGTTGCCATTTCTGTGTGGAGTGTGCATAATTTCTCTGTGTTTGCTTGGGTTTCCTCCAGGTGGGTTTCCTCAACAGTCCAAAAACATGCAGTATAAGTGAAATAAATGAAGTGTGTTAATGTGAGAGTGTATTGGTTTTTTTTTTTCAGTGCTGGGTTGCAACTGGAAGGGCATGCACTGCTAAAACGGATGCTGGAATAGTTGTTCATTCTGCTGTGGTTACCACTGATAAATCAGGGACTAAACCAAATGAGTTAATGCAATTTTAGGGTAGTGTGGTTCAGCCTTGTAACATCGCTGGTTTGTGTCATAATTAATGCAGTGATCAATCAAAATTGACAAAAACAAAAAAAGTAGTTATCAAGACACGGAATTCATGGAACAGATGAACAGAATTGGAATTTATCATGGAATTTATAAAAGGTTTCTTCTAGACATTGAAAGTCAGGAAGATAAATTTATTTTTTGGTCAAAGTCGTGAAGTATCATGGATTTTTGTTTGTCATTTTATCAAAATGTAATTTTTCTGAACCATGTTTTTTTTTTTATGTAGTTTTTTTCATGTATTGTTATAAATAGTCTATTCTTTGTGCCAATTTATTCCCTATTGGTAAATGGCAATAAAATATGGAAATATAGTTAATTTTAACAACATAAAGCTGCAGAATTAGTTTTCTTTTGCTTAAAAAGCAATGGAAGTTATTGCTACTGGAAGTAATAGTTGCGCTATTATGTAAAAAAATAAGTTGAATAGGTCGTGGAAATTCAGGTTTTTATTCAGTGAAATTCACCATGCAGGGAAAAGGCAGAAAATTTGACACCTGGCTTAGAGTGGAAATCCTGGGCTTGTAAGAGTAAGTAATTAACTTAATTTTTATTTTTGGGTAAACTAATTCTTTGAACTGTTTTGGTTTCAAATTCCGTTATCGTAGTTTAGCCGTTTGCCCACTTGAGGGCAGCAAACACAAAGTATTGGTCAAAATAAATGTTCACAAAATCAGGTCAGCATTGAGATCAGATGCGCCATCATTGATTGCTTGTTATGCATCCATATTTCACTGGCATTATTTTTTAAATTACATTCATTATTTCTAAATTACATTTATTTTTCTAAAAATATTAGATTATAATAGTTGAATTGTTGTCTTAGTTTTGTGTTATTTTGTTGAGTAGATCACCCTAAATATAACTGATGGATGTTGGATAAGATGTGATTAAACATGTTTTCTTTTTCTTTTTTTACCTTGTATTAATCATCTAGACAGGATAATTACTTCTGCTGTTGAGGGGTTGACATTTTCTCATTAAACTCTACTAAGTACTTGCTTTGCTTTTGGGGAATTGTGTTTCCCGTTGCCTTTGCATTTGCTTGAATGAAACTCACTTTGCATTTAATCATTAAGTAAATGCTTTTATCCAAATCAACTTAGGAGTAAGAGTCATGAAGCAATTTATCTTAAATGACTGTTTATACCTCCTACCTAATATAGTGCAATGTCTATTGGACATCACAAATGTTGGGTTAAGTTACTTCATTCATTCATTCATTTTCTTTCCAGCTTGGTCCCTTTATTAATCTGGGGTCGCCACAGGGTAATGAACCACCAACTTAAACAGCATAAATTTTGTGCAGCGGATGCCCTTTCAGCTCCAATCCATCACTGGAAAACAACCATAAACACAAAATTACTTTTAAATGCATAAATACATGCATACAGTCAAGCCCAAAATTATTCCTACCCCAGAGGGATTACAATCTCAAGCCTTTGTTAATCTTAAATATATATATATATATATATATATATATATATATATATATATATTAAAATTGTCTTAAAATTGTAATGTATAACTTTTAAAAGTAACTTTGCCCTACACTAAACATCACAAGTGCATTTATCACAATATAGAGCAGTAAAGCAGTGTGGCACAATAGGGAGATGCCTGAACTAAATGTTGTTCCGTCATAATTCCTGTGTTTAGTGCATACACATATTAAGTTATACTGTAGAGAGTTTGACAACAGAATCAAATAAACTGCTTTTACAAATCACTCTATAGACCTGAGAAAAGATATATATATATATTATTCACAAGAGTTCTGAATTTAAGAAGCATGGGAAGAATTTTTTAAAATGGACCTATTATGCCCTTTTTTTTTTTTTTTTTTTTTTTACAAAAAAAAGATGTTCCTAGAGTGTGTGTGATGTTTTAGCTCAAAATACCCCACAAATATGTTGTATAACTCTCTCTAAAATTGTGCCATTTTGATGACTGTTGCTTTAAATTCAAATAGGAATTGGCTCTTTTCTAAAAAAGTGACGGGGGTACAAATGCCTTTGTAATAGCATAGTAGCAGATTCAAAAACAAGAGTTATGCCCTATGCTAATTAAGGAGAGATCCTCACTCATGGGCGGAACGTTCCCTCTCAGATGACACGTGCAAAGGGGAAATGTCAATCAAAGTGTTTCTGCAGACTGTTTTTTTTTTTTTTATAAGTTTGATTATAAAAATAAAATTAATAGTTTTTTTTACCATTAGAAGCTGCTTATGTTCACAGACTGTTGTCACACAACAGTGTTTAAATCCCTTATAAAATAGATTTTTGCATAATAGGTGGCTTTAACACTCAGTATCTTTCAGCATCATCTATCTGGTAAATTCATGCAGCTGGAATTATTTTTTTTTATTACTTAAATATTCATATTCAACAAGCATGTATTCAATTGTGCAAGTGACAGTAATGTATAATGTTAAACAAATTTTTGTATATCAGCAAACTACTTCATAATTACAACAATTATTAAAAAGCCCTTATTATGGGTTTTTGAAAATGACCTTCCATGCAATATGTAACACAGCTCTGAATGAATGGAAACATCCAGTTGAGGATTAAATCCGAAAGTGCACCGTGCACCATGTTTAAAACTATTGATTCTTCAAGGAAAGAGTCGACTTTAAGCCAAATAAATGATTTGTTTAGATGTTTCGCCTTTTGCCCGAATTGACGTCCATACGACACAATGCTAAATATGAAGTGGTAGATTTGGTAAAATGTCAACACGTTGTACTTTTTCCTGTACTGATTTAAATGCATTTATGAGCTCACGATGCCCTGTCATTTATCATTGCTATCGCCACCACCAACTGTTCTTACACGCATGGCGCAGTGAATTTTCAAAATAGTTCAACTTTGGCCACTGTGTGGATTAATACTGGATGTGTGTCTGTGTTATTACTGCATTGCTCAATGCACACACATATACTCTGCACTCTCTCTCTCTGTCTCGAACTGAACCTAGTCGGCCAGTCACAAAAGCTGGGTCATCGGACCAATCAGTGCAGATTAGCATCACGCAAGGGAGGGCATTGGGAACAAATGAATCGCTAAACAAATGATATGGGAGTCGTTGGGATAATTAGGTAAAAATAAATGCATATTATACATTTTTTTTAATTAATTAATTAATTTATTTATTTATTTGTCATTGACATCATAATTACACTGGACATCCAAATGCTTTTGTTTAAGTGTTTTAGCAGACTTGCTAATTGTCATCACCTGTCCACGGGAGGCTTGACATAAAATAAAAAATGAAATATATACATGTACACAACATTATAATTCTTTACATATAATTGGCGTAAGGCAAAAGCAAAGGCGGCATGATCAAACAAACTAATAGTAAACCATTTCTGCTGTTTTGTTTTTATTTAAGAACACTACTAAAAACATTTATATTACTTTCTAACTTTGGGCTAACAGGTAAATCATTCCACAATTTGGTCCCCTTAACAGATTGACCAAAAGGGGTCTTACACTTTGGTTCAAGGCACCCTACTCAAGAGGGAAATTGTTTTTATTTAATTAATTTAATTATTGTGATAATAAAATTTTACATTCATAACTGTCAATTTACCAATAAGAAACCCAATTTTAAGGTGTTGATGACTGAATTATGCTTATATATTAGTTTATAAGAGACTCTCTAAATAAGAAAGCCCTACGCACTTTAAAACTTTGAGCTCTACAATGTATTTATTTGATTATTACATATAAACATTTAGTATATTTGTATTTGATTTATGCTTACCGACGGGCATGTATATTGTTTTGTACTGTTAATATGTTATATTAAAAAAAAAAAAAAAAAAACTTTGGTAAAGGGCAGCCACCTTTAGCAGTTGCTCGTGGGACTCGTACATGATTATTTAAACATTTAAAAAAACGATTTAAGATAATTAAATTTTATAAAACTTTCAAAGCTAAATAGGTTGTTTACATAAAACCTCACAATGATGCCATTGCATAGGCTTTGAGTCCGTAATTGTAATTGCTTGTTTATGCATATATCGAGTCGATAGGCTTCAATGTGGTTAAAGAGGCTTGTGACCATGATGTAATGCCATAAGACAAGTGAGAGAATATCATCGTGTACAGGTATACTTTTGCAGTATAGTCAATGATAGTGTTTTTTGACCTTTTATGCATCTCAGCTTATTGTTGTTGTCTTTTATAATGCATATTAAAAGTCATTTAAGAGTTGCAATTAAAATGTTACTTGAACACTAAATCAGCATATTAATTCAATTCAATTCAGCTTTATTTGTATAGCGCTTTTACAATGTAGATTGTGTCAAAGCAGCTTCACATAAATAGTCATAGTAACTAGAACAGTGTAGTTCAGTATTTTTATATTAA